ATCTATAGATTTGAATAATAAATATATGACGAAAACAAGAGACAAGTGTATGTGGATAGATTTAAATATTGATTGAAAGATACATAAAGATTGCATGGTTTTGATAGAGAAGTGAATTACATGTCTTATGAACAATATTTGTCTACACTTTGTGAGGCACTAAATTAAGACTCCAAAACTTGAGCATCCATTCAAGATCATGAAAGAAACTCATAATATAAAAATAAAGATTTGACCCGGAAAAAGAAGTGGATTCGAAAATTAATTAATTAATTAATTTATAATAAACTTAACCTAATAGGGGTATCTATCAATAAGAGAGCTATTTAGGACCATTAGAATGTCAGTTGTGTTAAGATTCAAACACACTTTACGAGTTTGAGTTGCCTCAAAATCAGCATACCAAATTGGAGTGGCATGGCATCTTGAGATTCTTAATTAATTAATGGCAAAACGACTTACACCTACCCAAGGTTTGGAGAAACGTTATATTGGTACCCAAAGGGTTTCAAAAAGATAAACAGGTACCTTTCGGTAGAGAAAAGACTAGAATGCCCTTAGAGAAATATTATTCTATTTTTTTAATTACTTTTAGACCCCTTAAGTTTATTAATTCCATCAAATACCCCCAGAAAAAGTTTAAAAATTAATAAAAACACCCCCACCCACCCATACTTTCCAGATTCCAGCGGCCACCACTGGTGATAGCCGGAATCTGTCACAACGGTCTACCCCACCACCAGAAATGGCCGATAGTTCACCAATCTGGCCTTTTTCAACCAGATCCACCACCGATCTGGCCGGAAATTGACGGCCAAAGATGTGGCCGTTGTTGACTGTCAACGACGACCACATCTTTGGTCGTCACTTTCCGGCCAGATCTGGCCTTCTCACATCAGATCTGGCCTTTTCCGGCCAGATCGATGAACTATCAGCCATTTCCGGTGGTGGCCGCCAGAATCTGGCAAGTATGGGTGAGTGGGGGTATTTTTGTTAATTTTTAAACTTTTTTCTGGGGGTATTTGATGGAATTAATAAACTTAAGGGGACTAAAAGTAATTAAAAAAATAGACTAATATTTCTCAAAGGGCATTCTAGTCTTTTCCCTAATGAAAGGTACCTGTTTGTCTTTTTGAAACCTTTTGGGTACCAATATATCGTTTCTCCAAACCTTGGGTTGGTGTAAGTCGTTTCCCCTTAATTAATTAGCACTATTATTTTGAAAACAATATTAAAGTTTTAATTAGTGGGCTTGCATCTTTTCAATTCTTTTTTATCAATTGATAATTGTTTCATATCCTAAGTTTCATTTCATGAAAGCAACTTTAATGTCACAATCCAATTTTTGTTTAGATCATCAAAGTTGTGTATTGGCTACCTTTTTAATTATTATTATTTCTTTTTACATTTTCATTTATGTCTCCCATTAACCTTTAAAATGTAGGTTAGGATCACAATTTTAAGTTATAATACAAAATTTTAATAAATATTTTCTCACGCTGAAGATGATATTTTTTTTTTTTTTAGCGTTAATCAACCCTAATAAAGAATGGTCTGAATTTTGAAAAAATGAAAAGATGTTTGCACCAAAGAATTCTTGTTAATTCTATATATCTTTTAACTTTGGTCTCATAATTCATCATTTTGAGAGTTTCAATGCTTACGGTAAAGGCAAGAGCCTTTTTTCAATGCTTTTGAAAAAATTAAAATGATTTGTGCATTTTGAGACTTTTAATTTTTAAAAACCAATTTGGTATTTTGGTTATTTGTGGTATATAAACCAAGTTTTCTCCAAACAAGACTTTAAGTTATACCTCAAATATTTACCAAGTGGAGAAAAAATTAAATAGTTGAATATAACATGTATCAAATAATATATTTTTTTAATAACAACAACACAAGAAGTGCACATCATAATTTAATGCCTTTATTGGTTTTAGAATATGTGATAAAATGATATATTTGACATTTCTATTACTGGGTTAGACTATTATAACACAAAATTTTTAAATTTTTAATTAAATATAATACAATAGACTTGTGGGATAGGTTAGAGATAATTATTTTCTATGCCAATTAATCAATTTTTCAGTCACTAGATTACCTAGAATTAATAATATCAAAGAGTTTCGTTTAATAGTTGGTCTTACAATATATTAGACCCATTTCTTTTTGTCCAAGAAAGAAAATTATATACTCTAGAAATTCTATATAACCCATACTCTGGGTGGAACTAGCCCCAGACTCACCTAGCTGCAACCGGTTGAGATTTGAAAGTAAAATATATTTTTTTATATTTTTTTATTATTGATATAAATTAATAGTTTATAACTTTAGTTTTAAGTTAGCCACTTTTCTTCAATAAGTGTCAAAATTAATTACAATCTAAAACAAAAGAGAAAGATATTCGGACATTATTGTCAAAACTCATTATACATCATTTTTTTCTTGTTTTCGCATATTTATTGTTTCGTTTTTTATATAATTTTGAATTAAAAATAATTTTTTTCTATTCTTAACAAGATTGAAAAGAAGATCAGTTTATCATACAATTACTTTTGTTTGGTATTCTCTTCATTTTTAAAATGAAATATACACTTTGAATGATAAAATCTTGTACATTAAATAATAAATGTTTCATTATTACAATTTAAGGTTATCATCAAGATTGATAACGTTTTTATACTTAAAAAATAATTTTTTTTTTAATAACCGGAGTGTCCGGGTCAGTTTACATACACCTCAATTAATCCCCAAGGCTCATTGAACACCCTATAAGCCTAATATTCCAAGTAAATCACAAATGTGATAGGTGGTTTGAACCAAAAAAGTCAATGAAAGAAGCAAACATTTTTTATCACTAGGTCAACCCCTTAGGGTTAAAAAAAAAGTTCTCGTAATTGAACCTGGGGTTGGGTCAACCGATCCATCTCGTAGTGTACACCAAACGGCTCATCCCTTCTGTCGGCGATGTGCTCTTGCCCTTACCTGGTCGGGTCAAGCCTCTGACACCATAACTTTGTAGAAATTAAAGTTCTGTGAGCAAATAATGATTTTTCAACCCCTTAGAACAAAAAATTCTGGTTTCGTCCCTACCATACTTCTGTCTCAATAACCGCATATGTAGTTAAATTAATAAATAAGAAATAGTGAGAGTTAAATAACAAATATGAGGGTCAAAAATACTTTCAGATGTGTGTATAGTTAAATTTAATTTAAGTCGTATTTACAATTTCTGTGTCTATCATCAATATGCCCTTTTTACTAGGCTAACAACTAAAATGGGCCGTAACTAGCAGCAAAAGCCCAACTGACTCCTTATAAAGCATCTCACAATTACTTTTATCAATTTATAACCATTACAAACATTTTTCAAGTTGAGCTAAGTTTTTTTTCTAATGGAATTATGGCATAAATTTATTATTTTGAGTTGTATTTAATATATATTTACATCTTATTTATTTTGAAATTCCTGAAAAAAAATCCCCTTAAAAACATATAAATTGTAAAATTGTCATAAAATTCATTTGAATTTTCATAGAATTTCTAAGAAACCTTTTCTCTGCAAAACTCTTTAATTCTTTTTTCAAGAGCAATATTTCATATTCTAAATTGTGCCAAAATTTTCATTTCATTTCAAGTAACGTGTTGGATGTGCCACTAACTTGTAAATGATAAGTTGATGTAGGTGATTGATATAATAATATTACATAGGATAATACGTCCTTTGAGATATTATTTTAATTGTATTACTCATTTTTCAAGGGTTTTATACTCAAATTTTTTTTTTTTTTAAATTTTATGAACAGAGCATCCAAACCAGTTTATGCACACATCAATTAGTATGAAGTTTACAACCCCATTATAAAAAGTCTTGGCCCAAAAAATATTAGAAAATGGTCTTTTGCTTTCCCTTTCAATTGATTTTCTGAATCTTGTGCAGAACCAAGTCATCTGTAAAAACAAATACCCAAAATTGAGCAGAGATTTGAGTCAAACTGAGGAAGCACAAGTTACATCAACTGAAAGTAGCAAGTCTTGCAGTATCAGAGCTTTCACTTTAAATTACTTGGAAACACTATCATGTGTGTAAAATTGAGTCAATAAATGATGTAATAGACGTCCAAAAAATTTAAAAAAAAAAAAAAAATTGTATTTCTAGAAACATGTAGGATACCACTGCCCTAAATATGAAAATGGGAATCTCATGATTGAGCTACAACACAAACAATTTTATAGAAAGAAAACCAATTCTCAAAGGCCCCATGTCTCTTTTTATCATGGTTTTAGAAAAATTTCCACACTCTGCAACTTGTCTCATGGGCCAATCTTCAATTAGGAAAAGGTTAAATTAACGATTCCATAATGTTATCGGATCAGTAATATTAATTATTTATATGCTAATATATGATGAAAACAAGAGACAAGTGTATGTAGGTGGGATTTAAAATATTAATTGAAAGATACATAAGATTGCATGATTTTGATAGAGAAGTGAATTGCATATGTCTTATGTACAATATTTGTCTATACTTTGTGAGGCACTAAATTAAGACTCCAAAACTTGAAGCATCCATTCAAGATCATGAAAGAAACTCATAATATAAACATAAAAGATTTGAGAAAATAAAATAAAATAAACCCAAAAGGGAAGTGGATTTGAAAATTAAATTATAATAAACTTAACCTAACAGGGGTACCTATCAATAAGAGAGCTACTTTAGAGCCATTAGAATGCCAGTTGTGTTAAGATTCAAGCACACTTTATGGAGTTTTGAGTTGCCTCAAAATCAGCATACCAAAATGGAGTGGCATGGCATCTTTGAGATTCTTAATTAATTAATTAAAAAGAACTAGGCCAACTAAGTTCTCTTAGTTAACTTGCTCTGTATAATAACTGTTTGGATGGTTCGGTTCCTGTTTCTTTAAGTAATTTGAGCTGCTTGACTGTCTTGTACCTTTATCATGATAATTCACTTTTTGGTTCCATTCCTCCACAGATGGGAAACCTCTTGAATCTGGTTGTATTTTACATCGATTCCAATAGCTTGACTGGTCCAATCTCGTTGAGTCTTGGAAACCTCAGAAACCTGGAAGTCTTGTACGTGTCCCTCAACCAACTTTCTGGTTCCATTCCTCAGGAATTAGGAAATTTGGAGTCTCTCATTGATATTAGTCTATATAGCAACAACCTTTCAGGTTCAATTCCAATGTCTCTTAGTGGTTTTAGAAATCTCCTTTATCTTGATTTATACAATAATTCACTTCCTGGTACCATTCCCTAAGAAATTGGAAATTTGAGAAACCTTGTTTATTTAGAGTTAAGCCAAAATCTACTCAATGGTTCTATTCCCAAAGACTTGAGAAACTGCACAAGCCTAAGAACACTCTATATGCAAGGAAACCAACTTGTTGGAAATATATCTGAAGATTTTAGCATCTAATGAAAGCTAGAAATGTTAGACATTGTTGAAATCTCATCTAGCTTGGTAGAGTGTCCAAAATTATTCATCCTAAAGATGGCATAGAATAATATTGCTGGCAACATACCAGTTGAGCATAAAATATTCATATTTCGGGAATTAAATTTTATGGTGAAATCTCATCTAGCTTGGAAGAGTGTATTACTTAAACTTTTTTTAGTTTTCTGAATTACCTATTAATGAAAGTATTATCTTCGAGAATTAACATTATTAAGACTTGAGAGAGGCTGGCACCCCAAATTCTCCATTGGAAGAATGTAGTCGACACTAGCTACAAAGTTCCTAGATTTTATTTTGAAAGTGTTTTTGTATGAAAGATTTAAAGCACCACTTGAAGTTTTTTTTCCTGGGTAGCTAGTAATTTTATAAATGAATAAAAAATTACATTCTAAAGACAGGAGAAACCCAAACTAAGCTGCCCTGGAATAAGCAAGGGAAAGCCCACCTCAAAGGAACAAGGAGACTAAGGATATACAATCTTTCACAAAAGAAACAGCCCACTCACTAACTAAACAAACTAGGGAGACTCTATACAAGCCCTCACCAAAGTCAAAGCTCAAAAAACTACCCATAGTCCCAAGGGCACCCAACCAAGTGTCACGACCCGATTATGTCCCCTTGGACTCATGCGGCATTAGGCACCAATCTTCCGCCAATTGCCCTAAGTCAACCTTGCTCGCTCAAGTTTTAGCCTTGAGAATAAGAGAACACTCATAAAAACTCACTCACAAGAGAGGCTAGAAGAGAGAACTCTTTACTAATAAGAGAATGTTGTACAATTCTTGGATGGTTTGGCCAAATGAAAGCCTCCCACTTTTCTAATAGATGAAGCTTACAATGGATGATCTACCACAATCAATGGTGGAGATTAGCTAACTCCAAACTACAAACTACCATCTACCAACTACCATATTAATTACAAGAGTGTAGAAAATACAAAGAATATTTTAGAATGTTCAAGAGAACACTAGTGCTAGGGTGACGCACATCAAGTGTTTAATGGAATGTTTGAGAGGCATCACATTCCCCCCACCTAATTCGAAGACGTCTCGTCGACTCTTTGTGGAATTCTTGGACCTTGTCTTTGAATTGCCATAATGCATCTTTAGATTCCCAACTTGCTTCACTTTTCGGTAGCCTCTTCCATTTGACAAAGTATTCACGGCTTAGAGGATGACCCTTTTGTCGAACAACGTGATCGGCTAACACACACTCCATCTCCTTGTCATAGAACTTGGTGTTGCCAAATGATGCCCGTTTTAAATCTACCCATCCTAGATCTTCTGCATCTTCATGGTATGGATTCAAGCAACTTATATTGAAGACCAAATGGAGTGTCAACCAAAAGGGCAATTCAAGCTTGTATGATACGTTGTTGACCCTCTTGATGATGGGAAATGGTCCATCATATCTTCAGACAAGGGCTTTGTGTAGTGACTGGGTGAACTTGTGTTGTGATGGGATGATTTTGACAAGTACTAGATCTCCCACATTGTACTCCACATACCTTCGCTTCTTGTTTGCCCATTTCATCTTCTTGGTTGATTTGTCAAGATACGCCCATGTGATGTCGGCTTGCTCATGCCATGACTTAGCAATTTTGAATGTCGCGGGGTTGCTCCCTTTGTAACTTGTCCCGATGGTGTGCGACGTGAGTGGTTGTTTGTAATAGCCACTACTACTCAAAAGATTATAATGAAATACATATAAAATAACATAAAGAAATTGGGCCCAAATTTTTCTTTTATTAAACATATATACATACTCTTTACAAACATATACATTTTTACACAAAATGTATAACAAAAACAAAAGTCATCAAAAACATCAGGGACAGTGTAACCACTCCTCCTCGCACGCCGACATCCATCCGACAGTGTCCTCACCTAGGTCCTGCAAAACATGGGAAAACAACGGGGTGAGCACTAAAATAATGCTCAGTAAGTAAATCCTCTACTCATACTAGCCCCGTAACTCTCTTTCTCTAATTCTTTCCTTACAACTCCCCGTTCAATAACTCTTTGGGTACGTCTTTCTTTTCCTCTTTCTCTTTCTCTTAGAAACTCTTTTCTCATAACTCTTTCATAAATCACGACCCCATCTCACCGGGGGCACGGCCGGGACTCACTCCCACTCTACGTGATCTCTACTTATTCTAGCCGATCGGACTCGGTTATGCATGGATTCGGAACCCTTGGCCATGTGAGTCTATAATCTCTCTCTCTCGGGTACTCGGGTATAGCCCTCATCCGCATGCACTCTCACGGGCTACACCACTTCTCTATCTGATACTCATGCCGCTCTCTCAATGCGGCGTACATGCGGGAATACTCTACCCATTACTCACGGGTTCCCCATCGCACAACCTACTCTATTCTCTTTCTCTTAACTCTTAAAGAACTTATACTCACATTCTATACTAAATCTCAAGCTACTTCTCAAGTGTATAAACAAAGGTGTAGAGCTATCTCATGCTCCCTAATGCACTAATGAAATGCCAACTACAAGATTTCCTCAAAACAGTCATTCTGCACCAGTCACACTAAAACGGCCATAACTTATGCTATACACCTCGGATTACTACGGTTCTGGTCTCGTTTCAAAGCTTAGAAACAGGGCTACAACTTCTCTGTTTTGGTCTCAGCCCAGTTCGAACCGTAAGATACTCAAAAATTACTCCGAAAGTTACGGCAGTGACAGGGCAGATTTCACTTAGGCATTTCCTCAAACATCTCATGTGCATATAAACACCCTACGAAAATTACTACTAAACTTCATTTTTCTAGCCATCCAAATTGGGGAAAAACTCCCTCAATTACTCATAATCCCTGTCAAGAAAAGCACTCCCAAAAAGGATTACACAACATCTCTCAAACTTCATCTCAAACTCCATTCTCAATACACATATCAACAACACTTCTCATATTTAATCAATCCCAACTACTAAGACTAAGCACACATCTCATCTCAATTTTCAGTAGGTATACCATGTACATACATAATTAAAATAAGTCTCTACTCAAAGCTTAGTCATAACTCAACTTGGTTGGATTTACTTACCTTGTGCAAAGATGGGTTCCTTAGCACTTTTCCTTCCCTTTGTGGACTTGTCTCTTCTCTACAACTCAAAACAACCACAAGGGCAGCAACAACACAATAAGACTTCACTATAAATACAAGAAAACTCACATCTAAAGCATGAATTCTTACCTTAGGAAGCTTTAGATGAAATCTCTACTCAAAACCCCTCTTAAATCCCTTAGAACTCTTGGAAAATTGGGTGGAGAAATTGAGAGAATATGGGCAATGGAAGAGGCGGTGGAATGAAGATGAGTAAGGGCTTTCTCTACACTTTACTCTTTTTAGTTCATATTAAAAGCTTCATTTCCCATTTTGCCCTTGTCCTTTCTTGGAAATTCCATCTATATCCTTTGATTCTTTACAACTACACCCCCATACAAACACAATCTCTACTAAATTTCCTTTCATTTTACTCCCCACTTTTCCTACTAATTAGGGGTAGAATGGTCATTGTGTCCCAAAAGAAGAATTCTCTAGAAAACTCAAGAATCTTTGTTTTAGGCTCTTCGCCGCGGCGAAGCATTTTTCGTCGCCTCGGCGAAATAGGGCAGAACCTACCCGTAATGCCACTTCTCCTCCTCGCCGCGGCGAAGTTTGAATTTCCAACTTCACCAAAACTCAACCCATTTCAAGGCAACAATTCAACCAACTCAACATACAAACTCAATTTAAGTTAAAACAATAAACTTTTAGCTAATACGACAAATCTTAAATACGTACCTCAAGTGGGATATTACATTGTTGACCCATCACCAACTCGAATGGGCTTTTGTTGGTGGCTTTGCTCCTTTGCAAATTGTATGAGAATTGGGCAACATTCAACAACTTTGCCCAATCATGTTGGTTGGCGCTAACAAAGTGCCGCAAATATATCTCTAGCAAAGCATTCACTTTCTTGGTTTGCCTTTCGATTTGAGGGTGAAAGCTTATGGAAAAGTCAAACGCCGACCCTATAAGCTTGAACAACTTGGTCCAAAATCTTCCTGTGAATCGACTATCCTGATCACTGATGATAGACTTTGGAAGACCCCAATATTTCACCACATGCTTGAAAAAGAGCTTGGTTGTGTCTTCCATAATGCACTCCTTTGGTGCAGGGATTAAAGTGGCATACTTTGACAACATATCCACTACAACAATGATGGTGGTAAACTTCTTAGATTTCGGTAAGCACACTATGAAATCCATTGAGATGCTCTCCCACGATCTACTTGGTGTGACCAACAGCTCCAAAAATCCCGTGGAGCTTCAGTGTTCCACATTATCTTGTTGGCACACAAGACAAATTTTCACAAATTGCTCCACATTGTCCTACATTTGTGGCCAATAATAGACTGCCTCCAATAGTACTCGAGTGCACTTTTGTCCAAGATGTCTGGCTCATTTGGTGTTGTGACACTCCTTGATCAAGTTCCTCCGCAAATTCCCATTTTGGAAACTACACCCTTCTCCCTTTAGTGTAAAAGAGGTCATCTTCTACCCAAAAACGCTTGGTCTTACCATCTTGAGCTAAGGAGATGAGTTGCTTGGCCAATGTGTCATGCTCGAGACCCTTTTTTATGAGCTTGAGGAGATCCCCTTATATGTTGCTTATGTTGCAAACTCGACCTTCTGACTCAATGCATCCATCACCAAGTTGGATTTCTCGGGCTTGTACTCCATCACATAGTCGAACTCAGCCAAGAAGTCTTGCCATCTTGCTTGCTTGAGGTTGAGTTTTTTTTTTTCATTGGAAGTAACTTATTGCCACATTGTTTGTCTTCACCCAAAACTCCCAAGCAAGTGTTGCCAAGTACGTAGACAATATACCTTGACGATCATCTCTTTCTCTTGTACCATGTATCACCACTCTGTATCATTAAGCTTTCGGCTTTCAAATGCTATGGGATGTTCATCCTGCATTAACACACCTCCAATAGCAAAGTCAAATGCATCATTATGTACCTCAAATGATTAAGCATGGTTGGGCAATACTAGCATAGGCTCCTCTATGATGACATTTTTTAAAGAGTCAAAAGCTTGTTGGCGATCAACCGTCCACTCACATTTTATGGTCTTCTTGAGTAAGTTTGTGAGTGGTGCGGCAACGGTGGAATAGCATTTGATGAATCTCTGGTAATAGTTGATGAGGCCCAAGCAAGAGTGCATTTCAGTAATCTTTGTTGGGGCTTCCCACTCTACAATAGCCTTCACCTTGGCTTTATCTATTAGGAGCTTCCCATCTTTGAACTCATGACCCAGAAACTCTACCTCCATCTTAGCAAATGAGCACTTGTCCCACTTGACATACAACTTATTTTCTTGCAACACTCTGAAAACTATCTGCAAGTACTCGGCATGCTCCTCAAGAGTATTGATGTACACCACAATGTTATCGAGATAGACCACAATGAATCGATCAAGGTATGAATGGACGATGTGATTCATGAGGGTGCAAAATGTGGTAGGGGCATTGGTGAGGCCAAAAGGCATGACTTTGAACTCATAGGCTCCATAACGCATCGCACATACGGTCTTTGGCTCATCCCCTACTGCAATCTGTACTTGGTAATATCCCGATCTCAAGTCAAGCTTAGAGAAGTACTTGGCTTATCCAAGTTGATCAAACAAATCGGCAATTAGTGGAATATGATACTTGCTCTTGATGGTTACCTTGTTGAGTGTCCGGTAGTCGATGTAAAGGCGAGGCGACCTATCATGCTTCTTTTAAAAGAGAACCGAAGCTCCATATGGTACTTTCGAAGGCTTGATGAATCTTAATTCTAAGAGTTCCTTGAGTTGCCTCCACAACTCGTTTAATTCCGATGGCGACATCCGGTATGGGGCTTTAGCGGGTGGTTTAGCTCACAACTCTAACTGAATTTTATAGTCCAACTCCCTCCTAAGTGGTAGGCATTTTGGCAACCCGGGCGGCATGACATCCTTGTATTCTTCAAGGACTTAAGATATTTCCTTTGGTGCTGGTTCCATGGTGTTCACACATCCCTTATCTTCCAACTTGTGCACCATGGTAAGAAAGGTTTTTTCTTTTTGCTTAAGTCCCTTTTCAATTTGCATTGCGAAGAGTTGGTTGCTTGGTGTGACCTTACTCACTGTTGGCATCATGCATGTGACTCCTTCGAGGATGCACATAGAGTTGTATCGCGGTAGGGGCACCGCATTGAATTGCCTGAGAAACTCTATGCCAAGAACAAGGTTAAAGTTATCTAAGGGTGCAACAGAAAAAGTTACATTGTCGTTCCATGTGCCTAGATGTAGCTTCACATTTCGAGACATGCCCCTAAGTGGTTTAGCTTTTGCATTCACCGTCTTGAGCCAACCATTAGATTTCTCCACCTTGACGTCTAACTGTTTTGCCTCGCTATCTTTGATGAAGTTGTGGAAAGCATCAATGTCCAACAAGGCTTGAACTTTCTTCCCATTAATGGTAGCTTCAACATGCATGAGGGGCTTATCTTAAACTTTGGGTTGTGCGGACTTTACCTTAAAGACATTGAAGAGTTGGAGGCACCCTATGTTGGCGATTTCGGATGCAGGTGTTTAAGGTTGTTTCTCTTTGAACATGGCATTGAAGGCCTTGTACTTAGGGAAATTCTGGATCCAATGATCCCTATTGCAAAAATAACAGTTCTCCCGGTGCTTGTATTCCATCTTGCCATCATTTCATCATTCCTCCTTATGAGGCGATTTGTCTCCCTTTCTAGGTGGTGAGATGGTTTATCTCCCTTCCCTCCCCCATCTTTGTTGTAATTGGGCTTACCATCTTTCTTCGGCTTGGATGGTTTGCCCTTGTGAAATTCAACAAGGGTGTCGGCTTTGGTGAGGGCGGTGGAGATGTTGACAACTTGACACCTTTGAAGCTTCTTTTGTGCCCAAGGTTAGAGCCCCTCCATAAAATTAAATAGCAAATCTTATGAGTTCATATTATCAACTTGGAGCATAAGTTTAGAGAACTCATTTACATACCCAGAAATAGGCCTTGTGTGCTTAAGCTCCTACATTTTCTTCCGTGTTTTATATGTTTCACTGCCTGGATAGAATTATTTCTTGATCTCACACTTGAGCAAGTCCTAAGTGTTGATGATGCACATACCTTGCACAATCTCAACATACTTCCGTTGCCATCATGTGATAGCATGATCCTTAAGGTACTCGGTTGCGATGTTCACCCTCTCTTGCTCACTTTGGACACTAGTAGCTTCGAAGTACATTTCCGTGGACCATAGAAAGTTCTCTAGCTCTTGGGCATCTCGCTTTCCCGTATACTTTCGTGGTCTTGGAACTTCAACCCTTGTAGGAGGTGCGGCATTGGTGATGACCCTGTTTGCCATCGCTTCTTGCAAAATGCCCAATCACCCTTGCTTTCCTCTAGATCCTATTGGAGCTCTTCCACTTGATCTTATAATGCCCTAAGAGAGTCCAACACCACCGCTTGGAACTCCACAAAAGCTTAGTGCTTCTCGGCAACATCTTGGCAAAACTCTCCCATGGTTTCAACCATGCCTTCCACATCGTCAACCTTTTGATCGAAGACATCGAGGTGTTCCTTCACTTCAGTGACATTCACCTCGTTGCGCATCACCTATGCTTCCATGGAGGCTATCATGTCCATGGATTTGTCCTTCTCTCCTCGAGAGTTTTTCTTCTAAGGATTGGGGTTAGGATTGGACTCTCCCCCCCTTTGCTTTTTGTGGCAAACTTCGGACGACTTCTCGAACTAAGAATCTTCTACTCTAATACCAAATATCATGACCCGATTATTTCCCCTTGGGCTTGTGTGACCTTAGGCGCCAATCTCCTACCAATTGCCCTAAGTCAACCTTTCTCGCTCAAGTTTCTAGCTTTAAGAATAAGAGAACACTCACACAAACTTACTCACAAGAGATGCTAGAAGAGAAAACTCTTTACTAATAAGAAAATGCTTTACAAGTCTTAAATGGTTCGGCCAAATGAAGGCCTCCTCTTTTTATAGTAGATGGAGCTTACAATGGACGGTCTAGATCTTCCACAATCAATGGTGGAGATCACCTAACTCCAAACTACCACCAACAAACTATCATCTGCCAACTACCCTATTAATTACAAGAGTGTAGAAAATACAAGAGTATTCTAAAATGTTCAAGAGAACTCTAGAGTGCTGGGGTGACACACACCAAGTGTTTGATGGAATGCTTGAGAGGCGTTACATAAGGGAAAAAAAAAGAGACAAACATCCCTAGCCTGCTAAAAAGTAAAAGCAACAGGAAAAACCACCCCAATAACCAAAACAACAGCAGCGTACCAACAAGAAGAGACTACCCAACAAATGGAGGAAAACTAGTAGCAGCATACCAGAAGGGGAAAAGAAAACTCAACAACAACACACCCAGTAGATGGACAAAACAGTTGCCAGAACTCATAAGCACTTGCCTCACAACAACCCTCAAACCCTCCATCAACCTGCAAAACCACTTGCCCATTACCCAAACCAACCAGCCAGCCAACCACCTTGCCCTAGCACCAACAACACAAACAACACTCCCCACCAACCACAAGGTCTTCTCACCAACCACACAATCACCATAAGGGAAAATCCAAACAAAAGAATCCCAAATGGTGCCAAGAAAACTGAACAATCCAAAAGGCCCAATAACCTTTTTCTCACTCATGGGCCAACCTCCATAACCAACGCTCCCAGCCAACGCAATCCAACAAGCCCTTGTCTACCTCCATACCCCCTGCAGCAAGCACCTGCTAACCTTATATCCTTCCACAGCTCATAAACGAAAAGAAAACAGCAGCCACAACAAGGACTGCTTACTATTAACACCTTTGCTGCCCTCAACAGGTAAACCCTCACACCCACAAAACCAGCAGCCTGAAGAGGAGGTCCAGACTTGTAAAAAAATAGCACAACCAAAGCATTCCACTCCAAACTCTAGAGCCCTATGACACCGGAACATAATTGGTAGACGTCACTGTTGCCTCTAACTACAAAGCTCTCAAATCCACCAAAACCAGCATCCAAAAAATGAGAACCAAACCAATCAAAAGAAACACACCAAGACACTCCACAACCAACCTCCACAGACCTAGTAACAGCACAAAACTTACACGCCCAACCTACCAAATGTCAAACCATATACTCATCCGCCCCCAATGCACAACAACAACTTGCAAAGATGAAGAAATAGAAAAACAACAAGACC